TTGCTTGGCTTTCTCCAGAAATAGTCTCCCCATCACTGATAGCTGCTTTCCTTCAGAGTCACCCAGATGTCTCCAGGTTTATCTAAGGGCAGAGGTCTGGCCACAGGCTGGTATGACCACTCATCTCCAGTCTTAGGAATAAGGCTGGAGCTGTCCCACAGAACTGGCTCAGACAGAGGCTGTAAGTAGCACTGGGTGGATGGGGGTGAGTGGTGGGGGAGGGTAGGGGGTGGTGGTGGAGGTAAGGACCACGAGCAGTGGAGATCCAGTGCTGAGGAGGATTTATATAGTTGGGGAAGGGACTGTTCCGATGGTTTTGTGCCTCAGAGGTCAGGCTGAAGGCTAGGTCCTGATAGGCAGCACTGAGAGGCTTGGTAAGGCAGAGCCAGAGTGCTTAGGCCAGTAGAGACAGTGGCAGGTAGAGTGTCACACAGGAAGCCTGGATTCAAGTCCCAAGCTACTCCCTTCACCAACAGGGGACCTTAAGTAAGTCATGTATCTTTGCTGATCCTCAGCTTTTCCATCTATAAAATGGGACTAACAGTGTCAGGACCAAGAATAGAAACTGGCTTTCTTCACTAAAATCCTGTGCAGATGGGAGGCATTGTAGTAGAAAAGGGAAAAGGGTAAGGACCAAGGAGAGGATGTCACCGGCTCAGGGTGACACATTCTCACCATGGGAATCAGTACCCAAGGCATCTCTGTGCACAGGTTTTTTGGAGTCAGACCTGGGTGCAGGTCTGGTTTTGTTCTGTTAACCAGTTACATTGTCTCTCTGAGCTTCCTTTCCCTATCTAAATGACCTCCTCATAGGACTGTTGTGAGAGTTAAGTAAGGTAAGATATGTAAAGTCTCTTGACATTTGCAGTCAGTAATTAGAGGCTATTCTTAATGTGATGCCCCTCTGGGTGGTTCAGGGGTGCAGGTACTTTTTAGGGCTTTTCTGCCTTTGCAAAGCTCTGGCACTTTACCACCTTCAGGCTTGACTCTTCCACAATACAGCTTCCATCTGAAATGTTTCATCTGGGAAAAATGATTTGTTTTTTGCCAAATTTCCTCTGTTCTTATTAGCCTAGAGGAGCAAGCCTGTCCCTTTGAGCTGTAAATTTCATTTCAAAGCCTGTGTTCCTGGTGGGTTTTAATTAGCTTAAGGGCCCAGCTTTTATGCAGCAGTTGTTTCAGCAGGTAAAGGTGAAGATGTTTATTTGGGAGCCAGTCCGCAATTTTCTCACACATAGCATTTCTATATTGTCTTTTCCAAGCTCCTCACTATGCTGGGGGCTTGTCTCTCAGCAGCTCAGAAGGAACAATGAAATATAAGAACCCAAGACGTAGAGTCAGAGGGACCCATGGGTTTCTTGGCCCTGCTGCTCACTGGCTATGGCATCCTGGTCAAGTCCATTCCCCTCTCTTCCTTAGAATAAGGGCATATGAGCTCCATGCTCACTAAAGTCCCTGCTAATCTGACATTGCAGAAGTCTCTGGAAACGAGCTGGGTTCTTGACTCCATCCCCACCCCACCCCCAACCGGACCCCCCCACACCTCCGAGAACAATCCCTCTCCCCGCCTCTCCTTAGCTCATCGCTAAGCATGGGGCCTCTGGGGCTGCAAACACCTTGCTTTCAATTACACAGCTAATCTGTGAGGCAGAGCTTGGCCCAGGGGGGGAAATAGCTTATCAAGTCAAGCAGCTTCTGCTGAATTAGGATGTCGGTATTTTCTAGGGCTCCCACTCTTAACCTAGTGGGAAGCCTGGAAGAGCCAAGATAGAATTGTGTGGAGAGGATTGAATTGGGGATATTGGTGTGTGGACCAGGGTGTTTGTGTCCTAGGCTAGAAAAAGGTGCCTGAGAATCTCAGTCTCATGTAGTCTCCCCCTCGTCTTTGCCCATTTAAGGGCCACCACGAGCCCTTCTCACCACCTTCTGGATTATCATCCTCACTCCTTTCTCCTAACATTCATTGAGCATTTACTGTGCAACTTTGTCAGGCTTGCCTCTGACATTTCTAGGTAGAACAGGAGTACAGATGGAGATCCACGTACCATGTGTCTAAACATTCAAAGGTTATGACTTATTTTAAATGAGGCTAACAAATTGGTATGTTCATAACACCCTGGAAGACCATATCTGAATCTCAGCACACTTCTTTTCATTTTGCACCCCCAACTCCATTCCTCTGAACCCCCAAAGATACCTGTCCTTTGAGATTATGTGCAACAGCAGCACAGCCTGCCCTCTGAAGAGTGTGTAGACCTTGAAAGCAGATTGGGAATACAGCCTGGAACATGCTTCAGGCAGACATTTCTCCTTGACTTTGCAGAACAGCCACATATGTACATTTCCTAAGTCTCTTCTTTGTGGATCAGAAAACTGACCCCTGTTTGATACTGCTTCTGACCTCTTCTCCTTGGCATTGTACAGAATGTGTTCCAGTCTGACCTTGACTCTCATCTAGAATGAGCCCCTAAATGGCTGTGTTAGTAGAACAGAGATGTTCCAACTAGTCAGAGTAAATTTTTCATGTTAAGAGCTTCAGAGTTTGTAAAGTCCTTCTGTATACATTGTCCCAAACCCTAGGTGATGAGAGCAAAGACCGGGTAGAGCCAAACCCAGAGGACTTGGCTCATCAGCCAAGGGATGAATGCTGATCCCGCTATAGCACCAAGCAGAGACGCACAACAGTGTTTCCTGTTCAGTAGCGGCCGAGGTCATTAACAGTGCTGAACAGGAAGAAGTCCGAGGGGACCCAGCTATGGTCCTGTCCCTGCCAGGTAACTGGCAGGAGCAGCAGTCGCCAGTAGACCTCTGAACTGTCATCCCCCCTGCTCTTCTTTCTATCTTGGTCCACACACCTGACCTGGTTGGCTCCCTCCAGCCAAAAGCAGGTGGCATCTTCCTGGGCCAAAACTTCATGACTTTGAGCTGAACCAACGGGGAGAGTTATCTGATGCTTATGGAGGAGCCCCACAAATTTCTTATATACTCATGGATGTGAACTTTGAACCTGGCTTGTCATCCAGGTAGGAGAGGGATTGTCAGAGAACTGTGAGGTGGAACCCACATACATTGAGCATTTCCTTCTTCATACAAACAGTATGCTGAGTGTTTTCGTGGGCAATCTCTTATGTGTCCCTCTCTGGTTAGGTTAATACATACTGATTCTTGGATGCAAAGGCAAACTGAGTAACAGGAGTCTGTCCTTCCAGGCTAGTTCCAAAGCTGGCACCAGGCTCTTCATCAGAAGCAGTGCCCTCTCAGCCCCTCATCTCCTGTGATGATGCACCCAGCGTATCCTTGCTACTGTAAGAACTACCACAGGAGCAGGTTCTTCCCCAGAATCTCTTGAGGCCCAGCTTGTGGTTTCCTTGCAAACAGTGCCATCTGCTGGTCAGAAAGTGCCAACTTTTAAGCTGGGAGGATTGATGAGAAAGGGCCTTCTACCCTAGTGGGACAGAAGATACAGATCTCCCAGCTTATACTCAGGTCCTCTCTAATTCACTAAAAAGAAGTTCCCTCTTCCCCTCAAATATTAAGTAAATAGGCAAGTGTTTATGGTTAGTTTAAGCTGATTTATGCACACTGGTTGGTGGTTCTTTAGCACTTTATCCAATAGTTTTAGGGTCAGATTCAAGATAAGCGTGTTCCAAAAGGGAGTTGTACCAACCCATGCCAGTGAGCAGAACACTGGGCTAGGAATATAAATGCCAAGGCCTTTTCTACTGGAACTGAACCTCCTTTTCCCTTTCCCTTTGGAGCCTGTGCCTAGATTCTAACCTGTCCAGAAAGGGGAGTAGGAGAGATTTGTACAACCCTTTGGGATAAAAAACATTGCCTGAGTGTAGAGAGCAAAGAGCAGAGAAAGTATCTGTAAGCAAAGAGAACAGAATTTGAATAGTAAGTGTAAAATAGATAACTCCAAAAATTAATTTGTTAAAAACAATACTCAGATAAATGTGCTGACTTACTGTAGTACAGTCGACCCTTAGTACAGGGTTTAATTCATGTTTAATTTACAGTCTGCCTCCTCCATATCCACAGTTCTTCCACACCTGTGGATTCAACCAACCACAGGAACCATGGGCCATGGGCAAGTATTGTAATATTTACTATTGAAAAACATTTACATAAAATGGACCCATGCAGTTGAAACCCATAATTGGTTCAACTGTATTTAACTTGGATTTAGCACTGGGAAGGAGAGTGATAAATTTGATACAAATGGGCTTTATGGACCTGTGACCTGGGTTTGAATGCCTATTCCTGGCAGGTTAATGAACTTGCTGGAGTCTGTTTTTGTAAAATATGAATGATAATGATACCACTTATGGAGTCTTGTAATTATTCACTATTGCATGCCACCCTTTGTGCTCAGTGAGGTTTAACTCACTTTTTTAAAATGGCTGGTTCCAATAAAGACAGCCATGGTCCATGTCTGGATCAGACTGTACATAATATGATACTGTTTTAGAGCAAACATTACTTGCAGTTACCCCGTGACCTCTTTGCTGTGGTTCTACATTGAAGGAACAGAAGAAAAAATGTGGAAGATCTTCAAATTTAGATCCTGCAAGGGGTAACATTCAAAATTAGCATTAAAGGAGTGGGTTTGAAAGAACGGAAGTCAGTATGACACTTTTGTAATGTTATAAACCAGTGTGTAACCTTAATTAAAAAAGAATTGAATCAGACAGTCAGAGTTCAAATTCCTATTCTGTTACTCACTGGCATTGTGACCTCTGGCTGCATTTCCTCCCATGTAAAATGTCCCGGTTCTGCTCATCACGTCAGCATCATATAATAGAACATAGGTAAAGCACCTGTATGAGGTCACCAGCCAGTGAAACGAGCACAGGTGGGGAGGCTGGATGTGACAGGGGCATGTGTGTAGGAAGGAACAAAGCCATGCAGTGTACAAGCCAGGTTGTGGGTCATGAGCAGCCAATGAACCCAACTCAGATCCCAGCCTCACAGTGGCTTTCTTTCTTCAGGTGGCCAACATGTCCTTGAAGATCCAGACGAGCAACGTAACCAACAAGAATGACCCCAAATCCATCAACTCTCGGGTTTTCATTGGAAACCTCAACACAGCTGTGGTGAAGAAGTCAGATGTGGAGACCATCTTCTCCAAGTATGGCCGTGTGGCCGGCTGTTCTGTGCACAAGGGCTATGCCTTTGTCCAATATGCCAATGAGCGCCATGCCCGTGCAGCTGTGGTGGGAGAGAATGGGCGAGTGCTGGCCGGCCAGACCCTGGGTAAGCATCTCTTCATGGCCCTGCCCCAGGATTTTTCCTGGGCAGGTGCTGACCCATGTTCTTTAGCTTCTGTCTTGTCCCCCATAACCCACTACCCCTGTCTGAGATGTTTTAACTTAAATAGTTATTAAGTTAATTATGTTTAAGTTATGGGTAGTGCCTCTGTGGGAGAATTTTAGAAGTTTCAGGCAAATACTTCTGTGCCTGCTTTCACAGTGAAAGGGTTCCAGTTAAAATGCAGATTCCCCAGAGAAAGGGGAGAGTGGACTAGTACAGCCTCTTACGTTGGGCTGCTTTTGGCTTGGGTTAGAACCCATTCTGAGAGCCAGGAGGAGGGGAGCATGAGGTGAAGCTTGGTCTTGGTGTTACATGTGTGTGATGTGGCCACATTGGAAGCATGTATAGTGTTTGTATATGTTCACTTACTTCTGTGTATTTGTGTATGTTTGAGAAGGGATATGTATATGTGTATTGCTAAATACGTGGTATGTGTATGCAACTAGTCACATGGAGAATATATGGACACACACCTTACTTTCTGGGTATATATGTAGTGCCCAGCCAGCTTTTTTCAAGTATCAGAATGTACTTGAGTGTGTGAGCAGATGTGCATATATTCATTTACCAAGTGTTTATTGAGTTCCTGAGATTTGTTGAACTCTACTCTAGACATAAAGATGTTCAGTGAAAGGTTGGTGTGAATGTGCACCGGCTCATTTGCATATGGGCAGTTATGTTTAGGATGCTGGAGCCAAGTGTGAGTGAAGTTGAGTGTGTGATCTTATTTCCTGGATACGTGAACATATGCCTGAGGGTGTGTGTTTGATGTCTATGCTTATGTGAGAGAGCTTGGGAATGCATATAATTTGATGTACACTGTGTGTGCGTGTATGACTGTAAGCCTGCATATGTCTGAATGTATAAGAACATGTAAAGTTATGTGTATGGAATGTATGAGTCTATTTATGAAGACCTCTGTTGTCCATGTTAGGGAGTACAGTCCATGTGCATCTCGTGTAAACACTTACATTGCTGTACATGTCCATGGGGGTGATGGGTGTATGGGCACTGATAATATATCAGCATCTGACTCTGCCTCTTCCCTCCATACAGACATCAACATGGCTGGAGAGCCGAAGCCCAACAGACCCAAGGGGCTAAAGAGAGCAGCATCTGCCATATACAGGTGGGGCACTCTGTCTTGTTTGTCTCTGTCTGGGTGGGATTGGTCCCTCTTTGCACAGAGGGAGATTTGGTGGTGATGGGATGCCAAGCCTAGAATTTGGGGAGGTGTTTGGAGATGAGGGCCTGTGGAGAGTGGGCTGAGTGGCCATCTCTAAGCCCCGGCCCTCTCCCCTTTGTTTCCCCAGTGGCTACAGCTTTGACTATGATTACTACCGGGACGACTTCTACGACAGGTGAGCGGGGGAGGGGCGTGCCCAGGCATGAAACAGCCAAGCTGGAAAGGTTCTGAGAGATTGCTGGTGCAGCCCACTCAGTCCTCCAAGTGGGAACTGAGGCCCAGAGTTGTGGATAGTCATCTTCCCAGGGCTGCTCCACAAGTTGGTGGCAGAGCTGGGACTAGGGTCCAGTTGTGTAGGTGCCCAGGCCAGAGCTCTCCCCGGCCCACACTGTCTCCCAGCTCTCTGACTGCCTCTCTTCCTCCTGGTCCTGGGGTGAGACCTGATGGGACTGGCCAGTCAGGGGACATATACATGTAGCAAGTTGGAGTATGGGGCCAGGTGCAGGGAATTTGAGCCCTCATGCTGCTGTGCAGTTTCCTCATTAACTCCCTGAGTGCCCAGCCAGCTGAAGGCACCGCAGCACTCAGCCTGAGCCACTTAGCCTTGTGTTTATACCCAGGGGGCCAGCCCTCCTTGGGAAGTCTGAATTAGTGCCTGGTAGGCTATGACCTACCCCCAAACCCACCCAGACTCCAACCTCCATGGCACCAGCCACATTCTTGTGGAAATCATGGTGGGGGCTGGCCCAAACTTCTCCTTCCACTTTTCTTTCTCCCTCCCACCCTCTCAGCCTTCCCCAGGCTGTCCAGGAAGAATAGAACCTCTCTGAGTCTCAGTTTTCTCACCTGAGAGAGGATTCAGGAGACAGTGCAGTGTGGTAGAAAGTGCCCTTGCCTGGGAGTCAGAAGACCTGGGTGCTAATCTCAGCTCTGCCACTGAATGAATTACATGACTTTGGGCACATCCCCTCCCAGTCTGAAATGGGCTTGCATCAAGTGATCCCTCAGGGCTCTTCCAGCTCTGGGATTCTGTGGTTCAGAGATTCTGACCAAGGCCAGAGCCGCCCCCTCCCCTTAGGGGCAGAAATGCAGGGTCTGGGACTGGATCCATTCCCAGAGACTCTCCATCTCCAGCCATCGTCACCCCAGGGCAGGAGCTCCCTAAACAAAGGAGTTACCTAGGCATGGGTCATTGCATTGCCTCCTGTCGGCAGGTTTCCTGGCTGTCATCAGGACAGTGATGCTGCAGGGAGGTGGTAGGAGCAGCAGTGGTGGGAGAAACCCCTATTCAGCCTATGGGAGCTCCTGCCTGATAAGGAAGAGAAGCCCTCCTGGAAAGGGCTGAGTGATGGCTTTGGGGGGCAGCATACTGTCTGGGACAGAGGGTCTGACTGAGCTGCTCAACCTTGATACTCCACTGGGCCTCCTGCCACCACCCTCCCACCCCCTAAGTGGAGTGAGAAGGATATGGTGATTGGGAGCCCAGAATGAGGAAAGGGGCTTGGAGTCCAGCCTCATGCCTCTGAGGTCATAGGCCCATTGAGTTGAGGGTCTCAGTACCCTGGCCTTTCACCTATCACACTTTCTAACATGTGTGTTTTAAACTAAGTTCTCTCATGTTCTACCCTCACGCAGTCTTGTGGGGATGTGGGAGTATAGAATTTGGGGTGGTCATCCTCCCTAGGCATGTGGGAAAACTGAGGCTCAGGCAGGCTGAGGAATTGACTCCCACTCCCACACCTCTGTCCAGCTGGGCATTTGTACTGCTTTAGGGAGATTTGCAAACTCTGACCAGAGCTTAGGGTGCAAGTTGACTGAGCAGAAGGCAAGTCAGGTAGTAGAGCAGGCCTGGGCATTAGGGTGATCTAGGAAGTCTGCCTGGGGGCAGTTCTCAGTTTGCTCCTCTGTTGAATGGGGCTGTAAACCCTTGTCACCTCCCCTACCCTTACTCAGCCTGGATGGTAGGAAAGGTGGATGAAGTAAGGATCCCAGTAGCTTTTGAAGTCCAGAAAGGCCTTCCTTTTCACCCTCAGGACTTACTGGGAGCAGGCAAAGGTATGCAGTGCAGGCTGCCCATCCCTTCACCAGCCCTACATGTGTTGGTCTAAGGCCACAGTGCCCCCTGCTGGCCACAGGCCATGCTGCAGCCTCTGGCCCATTTGCTCTCACAGGCTCTTCGACTATCGGGGCCGCCTGTCACCAGTGCCAGTGCCCAGAGCAGTCCCTGTGAAGCGACCCCGGGTCACCGTCCCCTTGGTCCGACGTGTCAAAACTACCATACCTGTCAAGCTCTTTGCCCGCTCCACAGCTATCACCACCGGCACAGCCAAGATCAAGTGTGAGTGACTCTATCTTCTTCCTAGATAATTTTCATTTTGTCATTAGCAAAATAATAGAATCACATTTTTTTACATTGGAAAATAGATAAAGGAACAAATCTCCCACAGTTCTGCTGCTCTAATACAACCAAGTGAGTATATTCATGCATTTCTACGAGGAAAAGACTAACATTTGTGGAGGTGGGGCTGTGTCCAGTGCTGTGATTTGGAGTTCAGTGAGGAAATGGTGTCATCTTTTAGTCGGGACAAGGACAGGTCCACACAGGTTCGCTTCCCCACAGTCATTCTGGTCTGCACATGTGGTCAGGCACTCAGGAAATCTGATTGTAAAGCACTCACATTTACATATCTTGAAAGACAGATACCATCCTATAACATAGCAGAGAAACATGCTTGCTCAGGTGCCCACAGAGGTACATACCACACACCTCCATTTTATCCATCCCTGTCCCTTTCCTGGGGGTGGGGAGGAAATCCAGGCCGGTCACTGTAGGAATGGCCTCCAGAAAGCCTCAGGGGGTGCCTCAGGCAGCTCTGGCCTCTCCCTGGTCATAAAAAGACCATGGACAAGGACCTTCTCTGCCATTGGCCTATCTTCCTGCTTGACAGAATGGGGCTAAGGTCTAGTGTTAGCGTCAAGCTCCCAGCCCTCAGTTGACATCCCTGTACTTCCCTCCACTCTCAGTAAAGAGCAGTGAGCTGCAGACCATCAAGACAGAGCTGACCCAGATCAAGTCCAACATTGACGCCCTGCTGGGGCGCTTGGAGCAGATTGCCGAGGAGCAAAAGGCCAATCCAGGTCAGCTTCCAAGGGTCCTTGCCCAGATCAGTGAGCAGGGGCACAGGGCAGAGCGTGGGGAGGATGATGCACGGGGCAGAGAAGGGGCTGTGGCCTCCGATCCCACCTGGACCCACCTTGCTGAGGCCTTGGTTCTACCAAGGTGCTCCCCTGGGCAGGTGCCCCAGGTTGACTTTTATTCTCCCTTCCTCATCCCTTTCCCTGAAGATGGCAAAAAGAAGGGCGAGAGTAGCAGTGGCGGCGGCAGTGGTGGTGGCAGTGGCAGCAGCGGTACTGGTGGCAGCAGCCGGCCACCGGCACCCCCGGAAGACACAGCTTCTGAGGCAGGCACTCCCCAGGGAGAAGCACAGGCTCGAGACGATGGCGATGAGGAGGGGCTGCTAACACACAGCGAGGAAGAGCTGGTGAGGGCCTGCCTTGGGGGGTGGCTGGGACTGGGCTGTGTACCTCTGGTTGCAGGAGGGCTGCAGGGAGTAGGGGGGGACCTCTTGACTGCTTGCTCGCCCTGTGTGCGCCCTCCTTCCTTGCCAGGGGTTCTAATCCTGTGAGGAAGAGGGGGAAATGAACAGAGAGTACTTAGCTCTTTTAGCTGTCAGTCAGAAACCCCACAGAAGACTGTGGTGGCCCTCTCTATCCCAAGGCCCATTCTAGACTCCATCTTCCACCTGAGTTGGAGAAGGGAAGAGTCAAGGGCTCATGGCCTACAGAGTTCCAGGGAATAGGAGAGGGGGATTGCCTGGGGCAGCCACAGGGAGTGCAGCGGTCTGCTCCACCTGAGAATTTTCTAAAAGCCATTGTTGCCTGACCTTGACTCAGGCTGTCTCAGGATGGGGCGAGCAAGCTTCCTGTTTGGTATTGAAATTCTTCAGATTGAGGCAAGGAGCTACCAGATTCTGACGGCGAGGTGTGCCTACTACTCCTCTACCTCATACTTACTGAGCACCAGGCCCTGTAGTTCACAGTTTTTAACTTCATTTGACCTTAACAGTAGCCCTGAACTGTTCAAAGTTTTACTTTTGTTACATTTACCCCATGAAGAAACTGAAACTCAGAGGAGTCAAGTACCTTGTCCCAGGGCTTTGTGGCTAATGAGGGTGGAGCCAGAATTGGAGCCTGGACTTGAGTGGGTCTTCATATGGCTGGGTCCTGGTATGAGGATAGATGGGTTTGTGGCCATAACAGTAGAGAGGTCTTCCTCGTGCCCAGCCTGTCTCTTCTTATTTGAACCTAGCCAGAGACCCCATTTTACTCTTTTCAGGCATAGTCTTCATAATGGTCCTAATGAAGGCTTAGATGTTTCTAAGATGAGGAGCTCACCAGTCTACTAGGCTTTCAGTCTGCTCCAGTCTGAGAAGGTCTTTCTGTGGAGAATGTGTCCCGTGCCACACCTAGAACTTCCTTGACTGGTTCTTTCTCTATCCTGAGGGGCCCTCAGACTGCCCTGTTGGAATCCCGAGGCAGCCTTACTTATTCATTTAGACTGGTCCCCTACTTATTCCCTTTGACTGTCCCTCCCCCTTTCCGAATGTGGTGTCCATATATGCTCTGGGCCCCAGGGCAGGACAGACTTGCCGTGAGTGATGTGTGGTCCCTTTGTTGTCTCCTCCTTTCAGGAGCACAGCCAGGACACAGATGCGGAGGATGGGGCCTTGCAGTAAGCAGGTATGGGGGTCCTGGTGGGGAAGGGTGAAGTAGAGGGCCTGCCATGAAGTAGACCTGGCAGGGTAGTGCTGTGTCCATCAATGAAGGCTCTCTGGTCCCCCGTCATCCTGCCATGCCCATTTGTGGTGGGGCTTGGTGGGTCATGGATCAGGAATCATGGTTGGGCTAGCCAGGTCTACCCAGCAGGAGTTCCCTCAGCATGTGCCCAGCCACATTCCCTGTCCCCACTTGTAAGGAGCTCTGAGTCTAGTGGAGGAAGACAGACCATTACCACCCAGTGTGAGCAGAATGACAGGGACTGGAGAGGCAGGGGGTGGAAGAGGTGACGTGTATCCGAGCCTGTTGAGGACTGAGGGAAAAGCACCTAAGGGAACACCTTTAGCAGGGGCAGAACACCTGCAATCCTTGGTGTGTGGGAAATGGGCTAGTCTCCTGCAGCTGCAGTCCCAGCTCTGCCCAGTAGGGACAGGGAGCTGCTCGTCCTCAGAGCGTGATGATTATTCTAGCCTTAGGGGCTGGGGTTGGATCCTGTTGGGAGGAAATGTCCTGTGTGTCCCAGCCCTGCAGGGTTGTGATTGTGCCAGTGTAATAGATGTAGAAACTGAACGCTGAAGAGGGCAAGTAGATAAAGCACATATCCCACAGGATCCCAAGGTGGTCATTGGTGGAGCCTAGATTCTAACCCATTACTGTGTGGCCTCAAGGCTCACTCTCTGGTTGCTATTTACCACCCTGCTTTGCCCCACCCTAGAGGGAAGCCAGGCCACACCAGCTCTGCCCCGACTCTGCCCCATTCCTTTGGGGACACTTTCCAGGGTATGACAGACTTGGGTGGAGGAAGGTCTCAAACAACAGAGATATCTTTATACATGACACACTCGTGCTGCTAGTGTGTGTATGCTCCACCATACCTTTAAGTTTAGGCAGTCTTCGTGATTTGTTTTACCTGGGAGGCTAAGTTGTACCTTGTTCAGCCAGTTTGAAGGAGAGGTGCTGGGGACTCAGGTGAGGACATGGAGGCTTAGGGAAGGAGGAGATTCACCCAAGGTTTCATGGCCAGAAAGTTAGGAAGCCAGAGTGAGGACACAGGCATACCTGTGTCTGCAAAAGCAAGCGCCATTGCACTCTTGTCTTCCCAGCCCATGTTACCTAGAGCACAGAGGGGCTCTTCCTCTCAGCCTTAGTTCTCTCTTGTCTCTCTCAGTCTGACAGGAGCGATGGCCACCAGCAGGAGAAAGGCATACACTGTACCAGGCCTCAAGCTGGGCACCCACCCCTGGATAGCACCCCCAGCGGGTCCCAGAGGAGAGCTGGCTGCAGGCACCACCTCCCTCACGTGTATCAGCCAGTGGCGTGTTCTCTGCAGGTGGAGTTATCAGCATCCCTTCCTCACGTACCCTCCCTGTTGGCACTGCCCAGGCCAGAGGGCAGAGCACAGTCTCCCTATACTCTGCCTCCCCTCCCCAGGACATTCCCAGGCTTGGGGTTTTTCTATAGGTTTTGAGGGGGGTGGGGCCCACAGGGAGGGGACCTTGACAATAAAGAGATTGGATCCCAACTTGCTCTGAGATGGGATGGTTGTGTTTTTTTGTGAAGGAACCGTGGGCCTCCTGTCCAACAAGAAAGCAGGTCTGCTGCATGCCCTTCTGTTCTCCCCTTCACTCCTCCCTGCCAGAGAGCATTGTCCAGAGTACCAAATACTGATCTTCCTGGGCAGTAGTGTCCATGGCTAAAACAGGGATTAAAATGACCAGTAGTGTTGTCGGGGAGGGTCAAATGTGTCAGTGCCCACAAGAACACTGGTTGAAGTACCAAATGGTTTTTGATCCTCTTTGTCAGGCAGTGCTAGGTTCAGGCCTCAATCTCAGTAAGTCTGGTCTTTCCCAGCTCTAAAATGTCTCTACAGTTCCCCACTTTCTCCTCTTCTGGGTCCTGGCTTAGGACACTTGTTTTTTCACAGGGATCTTGGGCAGTAAGGGGAGAGAGGCTAGTAGCTGAGGCCATGAGTCAGAGATCGAGACCTGGACTGAAAAGTAACCCTGAGGAACTGGTCAGTCTGGAGAGATGAAGAGGGTGTCCAGAGGAAAGGGTTGCTGGAAGCGCCTCTACCCTTGAAGGGCCCTTGCTGCAGCAAAGCACTCTGGTCCCTGAACCTGCAGTCTGTCCTCGCACCCAGAAGGTCAAGCCCAGCTCTTGCTGACCCCCCCTTGCACATCTCTCTCTGTTCAAGGCAGGGAAGTGCTGCCCTGGACTGGGACTTGGGCAGAGTCTAAAGAAGGGGTTTTGGTGCCTGGTGAACGTTACACGAAGACTGACTCCATGTTCCTGTGTCCCCACAGCTTAGTGCTGTGTGTCCATTGTACTGTATATAACACTTCCAGATTGCACAAGGCCTACTTAGTATGCTAAACTGAGGCACTCACTTTTCAGAGCTGGGGGGACAGGTAGAACAGCAGGGGCATGTGCTTGCTTAATATGCCAGGCATAGAGGCCACCAGAAGAGCAGAGAAAACCCTTGCCAGGGTTGGAAGCATCTGCCCTACCCAGAGGCCCTGTCTAATCACCCTGGGACCAGGAAATACCCTAGAGTAGGTATTGGGATTCCCTAACCTGGCACCCCGGAAAAGCCCCAGAACTACTTCAGCCACTAAGAAAGCCCAGAGTTGGGCCCTTGAGTCGGGAGGTTCACATCCACAAAACCCTGCACACAGGCCTGTCCTCCCTGTGTCTGGGACCAGGAGAGCTCCGTAGGTTTCATTTTTCTTTCCAACCTTTGAAAAACAAAAGATCATGAAGAAATGTGATATCTGATTCTGCCCAAAGGACTGACATTCTCTAGATATTTTCAAGATCTTAAAGTATCAGTTGTGATCCTAGTAGATTCCCATTGCTGTTGGGTTTCCTGGATTGGGAACTAAGACTCTCCCACCTGTACTGCTGCCAGTAAGATTTGTGACCCTAGCAGTTCTTTTTCTTTGCTGGGTCTCAGTTTGCTCATCTGTGTGAGGGGTTAGACAGTGGCCTAGACAGTTAAGTGGGCCTTATTTCAGTTGTGTAACAAACCACTCTGAAATTTAGTGCCTTTAGTGAACATTAATTTGCTTCTGATTCTGTAGCTTGGCAATTTGGGCTGTGAACCAGCTGGGTGATTGTTCTGCCTATCTTATCTGCGCTCTCTTGTGGCTGAAGTGAGCTGGCAGATTACTGGAAACTGATTGGTCCGAGATAGCCACCCACTTGTCAAGTGGTTGCACGGTGGGGGCCACATACTCCTAGTATCTAGACAGCAAGACAGGCAAGCACTGATATGTAGGTGCTCATCAAGCTCCTTGTGTGATGCTTGTAACATTCCACTGGCCAACACAAATTGTATGGCGGAACCCAAATTCCTCTTTATGACCATAATTTGTTTTTAACCTATCTCAGGCTTCATTTCACTTGTCAATTCAGAACATTCAGTAGCAGCTGCTAGAGTGCTTTCTGAGGATTTGGAGCAGTTTTTAAAGACTATTAGGAAATAGTAACATGATAGTTTGGTCATGTTTTTTATGGGCAAGCAGCTGAAACATGGGTCTGTGAGTGTCAGGTATTAGCCAACCCTGGCTAGGTCACATCTTGTCCCACGTGCTGTGCCTGGTTGCTCAATCATGTCTGACTCTCTGCGACTCCACGGACTGTAGCCTGCCAGGCTCCTCTGTCCATGGGGATCTCCAGGCAAGAATACTGGAGTGGGTTGCCATGGCCTCTTCCAGGGGATCCTCCTAACCCAGGAATCAAACCCAGGTCTCCCACATTGCAGGCAGATTCTTCACTGTCTGAGCCACCAGGGAAGCCCCATAAGGACACTGTATATGCAGTGGGCCATCTGATGAAACCACAAAAATAGAACAGCAAAAGATTCTGAGCCGGCTGTTCTGAGTTTGAATCCCATTTGGACCGTTGATTGGCTTTGGGTGAATCAAAATCCGTCTACCTGTGGCCACAGTCTTCACAAATAATTATTACATAACAACAGTAAACCACTTCTGAGGGTTTGTTATTAATCTAAAAGGCACATTTTACCCTAAGTTAATCTCCACAGCCACTTTTTAGGTGGATGTAGTGTGAACAAATTCCTCTCCCAATTCCTGACAAGCCCCTTCTGGCTCTCCTCCTCTACATACTCAAATTTCCTTTGTTGACTCTTCCTCTTAACGCTGGCACCTCTTCATCATTTTTCTGTATGAGTTCCTGGCTCACCAAACCCATGGCTTCAGACTTTACATTCATGCCTCCACCATCTCTACCTCTAACTCCATCTTTCCCAGGAGTGCCAGGGGACATAGACCCACCTGATAGCTGTACTTTGATGTCCACAAGGACCTCTGTTGAGCCCTGCCCTCCCCATCTTTGGGCTTCCCAGGTTGTGCAGTTATAGAGAATCCACCTGCCAATGCAGGAGACACGAGACTCAGGTTTCCATTCTTGGGTTGGGAAGATCCCCTGGAGTAGGAAATGGCAACCCACTCCAGTATCCTTACCTGGAAAATTCCATGGACAGAGGAGCCTGGCGGGCTATATATAATCCATGGGGTTGCAAAGTTGGGACATGACTGAGACACACACATGATGTCTTTATTTTCATGAATCCTGCATCTTGGAAAATGGTGTATTTGTTTACCCTATTGCTCATGTCCACATCATGTTAGTTTTTCCAAGGTATGTCTTAGCTCTAACCTGCTTTTTGTTCCACTCCTTCAGTAGGTTAAGCCCCTTTTATCTCTTAAAGACTTTTACAATAACCTAACTAGTCTTTCACTTCCCATCAGTCTGCTCTTTCAGTTCAGTTCAGTCACTCAGTCACGTCTTTTTGTGACCCCATGGACTGCAGCACACCAAGCTTCCCTATCCATCACTATCTCCTGGAGTTTGCTTAAATTCATGTCTGTTGTTTCAGCAATGCCATCCAACCATCTCATCCTCTGTTGCCCGCTTCTCCTCCTGCCTTCAATCTTCCCCAGCATCAGGGTCTTTTCCAGTAAGTCAGTTCTTTGCATGAGTTGGCTAGAGCATTGGAGCTTCAGCATCAACATCAGTCCTTCCAATGAATATTCAGGACTGATTTCCTTTAGGATTGATTGGTTAGACCTCCTTGCAGTCCAAGGGACTCTCAAGAGTCTTCTTCAACACTACAGTTCAGAAGCATCGAATCTTCGGCGCTCAGCTTTCTTTCTGGTCCCAACTCTCACATCCATACATAACTAATGGAAAAATCCTGTCTTTGACTAGAGGGACCTTTGTTGACAAAGTAATGTCTCTGCTTTTTAATATGCTAGGTTGATCTAGACCTTTAATAGGTCTCGGTTGGTTGTAGCTTTTCTTCCAAGGAGCAAGTGTCTTTTAATTGCATGACTATAGTCACCATCTGCAGTGATTTTGGAGCCCAAGAAAATAAAGTCTGTTTCCATTGTTTCCCCATTTATTTGCCATGAAGTGATGGGACCAGTTGCTGTGATCTGTTTGTTGAATGTTGAGTTTTAAACTGGCCTTTTCATGCCCCTATCACTTTCATCAAGAGGCTCTTCAGTTCCTCTTCACTTTCTGCTGTAAGGGTGGTGTCATCTGCGTATCAGGCTATTGATATTTCTCCCAGCAATCTTGATTCCAGCTTGTGCTTCACCCCACTGGTTAACCACTATGTATTCTGTATAACTCAGCTCAGAAGTCACCTTTGCAGACACCTTCCTGGCTTGAGTTAGCACCGGCCCCTCCCGTGTGCTACTTTTATTACAGCTCTTACAGAGCACAGGGTCTGAGCCCACATGCCTGGGGACCACATCTTCACTCCTTATTAACCAACTGTGTGGCTCCTTGGGTGGGTGAGTTATCCTAAGTCACCATTTCGTCTGTAACATGGAGATAACTGTACCTACCTCAGGATCGCTGAGCTGAGGAAGTGAATATATATATAAGCACCTAGAACATGACCTCACACAAATTAGGGATAGTACTTAGGCAGTACTATCTATGTATTATATAAATGATTACTCAGGAAGAACACAAAGGGAATTCCCTGGTAATCCAGTGGTTAGGACTAGGCACTTTCACTGCTGAAACCTAGGTTTAGTCCCTGGTCAGGGAACTAATCCCACAAGCTGTATAGTGCAGAAGAAGAAAAAAAAGCCCAGATTCTAGGCCCTGAGAGACATCTGTCATAGTGAGCTAGGACTGAAAAGTGAAGCAGTCATAACTCTTGAGGCCAAAACAGTTAATGATAGTCAAGTTGTTTCCCAGCATATTAGGTTTGGCCAATATCTCATGTAATATTTTGGCTTTAATTTGGTTCCTGGCTCACTTCAAAGTTCATGAAAATCTGTACAATTAATATAATTTTTAAAAGTGCCCATTAAAATGGTGGTGTTCAATAAGAATATCTGTTAATACTTATCCTTTAGAACAGCTGGTTGTCCAGTGGTTTCAAATACTGTGTTTAAAACAGAAGCCACACTTAAAGCAAGGGGCAGTAATTAGAAGGTTCTTGAGTATCTGTTACCAGGAGGTTTAAAGGGACAGGACCCACAGCAATCACAGGACACCCAACAAGTGTTTGGTCCTTTCTTCTCTGGAGAGCACCACCATTAATGGGACAAAGCTTGAAGGATTATGCCTGTTGTTGCAAACCTTTGGGAGAGTGTGATGCTCCTGGAGACAGGTAGTCACCCTGTCTCAAAGCAGAGCAGTTTTTCACAAGGTCAGTAAGCCACTGTCACCATAGAAATAGGTAAGTAATACCTATAGTCCTCAGGATGTGCACACTTGGCAGGGCAAAGGCAGAGCATCTCTCTGTGGGAAAGGGGATACTCTCACAAGTACTATCAGCCATTGTGTCTTCTCCCCTCTGGCCAGCGTAATTCAGCCTGAGGGGAGTACAGAAGGAAGATAGTGTACAGTGCAAGGCAGGCAGGCCTGGGTTAAGCACTTTAAATATAGGATATAATCAATGATAGAAGGCTGCCAATCCAGACTGTTCAAGACCTGTACTCATAGCATTATCAAAACCCACCATTTAGGGTACTGACAATAAACTATGGCACACCATGAATAGATTCTTAGGCAGTTTTTAAAAATACTGTACTAAGTTGGAAAATGTTCTTGATATAAAAAGATTTTACGGTGATAGGATTATGGGAATTAAAACTTTGAAATTATAAATTCATCTTAATTAGATAAACACTACCACATGCTATAAAGCCTGACATGTAAAAACACACTGTAAAGCTAAAAAAAACCTGACTTACTACTCACAAGCTAAGTCCTGCTTGCTCTAGGTATGGGGATACATCAATGAACATGTAAACACTGCTCTCAGCACCTATGGTGACCTGAGGGTAAAACAGTTGTTTACATGAAGTGGGCAGGGACCTGTGAAGAGCCAGGAGATCTTAGGAAAAGTTTAAACTCTTCTGTAGATGGGGCTGGGACAGGTATGAAGTTAAGAGATACAACTGCATATTTATATGCTTGTGAAAGTGCACAATCCACATACAAAAAGACTTTCACTTGGGCTTTACTTACTCATGGAACAGGTTTATCTGGTCTCAAAAACTCCTCCCACAACCCCCAGCATAATTAGGAATACCCTTTAACAGTTTCTGAAGACACTTTGGAAATGGTGGTCTGATTCCCTTATAACTAAAACATTGCTCTTGATCAGAAACCCTCAATGGCCTTTGCTTTGTCCCTCCATAGAAGATTCCTTCCAGCTGAGCTATGGTTGGTCTGAGATAGTACAGTAGACAGAAGAGATGCTGATGCTACTGGGAATGTTAACCTAGGGTAACTCCTCATTTTGAACGGGTCCGCTACAGTCAATCCAATTTTGACCAAATAGTACCTCAACAGGACTCTCTGGAAGAAGTCTTGATCAGTCCGGAGAATCTGTTTTGGAGAATGGACTTAAGAACTGGGGTTGAAACTGCCAATCTGTCACCAAACTGTAAAATCCCATGTCTCCCGACTAAAGAAATGAACAAAACACACATACATAGGCACAAAAGCGCTAATTACACAAGAGGCACTGATCCTTGGTTTATTCACGCAGTAACAGCTGACATTGGGAATTATGTGGATATAGTTACAAAAGAAGGAAGATGAAATAAACAACAGTTGAGTTCCATCAGGGCAGTGTTGGCAGCTCAGCCAGTGTGTAGTCCCCCTCAGGACCTACTGGGTTGAGAAAGTGCTCTGCCCCCTCTACCACTTCTTGACCAAGGCACCTTAACAACACTTGGCCTATACTTTGGGTCACAGTGATCAAACACAACATGGTCAAGACATTCAAGGCTGAGTGACTGCTCCTGGAATAATCTGGCAACAAGCAAGAGGAAGGAGCAGCATTATGCCCTTACCCTCAGCAAGTGCGTGCAAGACAGATCACAGGCAGGCATTTAAGAGGATCTTTTCTCTTGTGCTCAGTGGAGAGATACCTTTTCGGCTAAAACCACAGAAGGCAGAACCAGGAGGAGGCCCCAGAAGTGGAACACAATCAGAATCACCTCTTGGTTTCCCATGATCACATTCAAAATCTACTTTAATACAGAAAAAGAAAAAAACATTTGTAGTGGGGCCATTTTTCAAATCCAGAACTCAAGTTGAGGAAAAAGAAAAGTGTCCTCCTCTAGCATCATGGTTTGGACTCTCAAGAGTTCTTTCTACTGCATAAGCTACACCACCTTCTCTCCAACAGATGCCCAACTAGGGTTGTTATTGGTGTGCCAGCAAGTTATAAGACATACTCAAAGGCTGTATCTCTAAGCTTCTCTTAGTGGCCAATAGGGAGGAAAATTCTAAGGAAGGTACTTGGCACCTTGTATTCCCCTCATGCTAAAAGATGGAGGACTCAGCTGTGAGGTAGTGGCAACAATCCCCACATAATGAAAAAGAATTCAAGTCTATATAATTGTTCTCTGGACACCAAAAACAGGCTGTCTTCCCAGATCTCATGTCCCAACCATCCTCATGTGAAGCTGTGTCTACTTCAGGCATCCCAAGAAAACTGAGAAGGAAAATGACTACCCAGCTTAAGGTTCTCAGGACAACCATAAAGAGACCACACCAGAGCTGCTGAGGCACAAACTGTTTGGCTGAATTCATTAAGCATAATTTTTTAATAGAAAAGAAAACTGAAGGACAAACCAAATTGAAAGAATCACTGTTATAATAACTTTAATTTATCTTGCATTTTACAGAAGTCTATGAACGATTTTAAAAAAGCACCGCCTTACCCCATCATGTTTCTCTGACAGTTGTTAAAGTAGGCAATGAGTATGTCAACAGCTTCAGCAACGGCATCTTGCAAGAATTTCAGACCAACCAGCCACACGCCAAAGAACTTGGCAGCTTTTCTATCTTGTTTTTAATACAGTGGTATATCCACTCTGATGGTAAACCTGTCCAGCCAAATCTCCAAAACACACTTTGCAAAATCAGTGGTGACTAGCAAATTAGTTAGCTTTGGCACGGAGCTGTGCTCGCTTGCCCGTGACAGCCTGGAAGCCAGTTTTGATGCTGGCAACAGAACATCGAGAATGACAAGTTTCGCACTGTAAGAAATAGAGTCGGGTGTCCTTTTGCAGGATTGTGTCTGGTGATCGGCACGTGTGACAGGTGACGTATTCCTCTGAGGAGAAACAACACACAGAATTACCTGATAGCCACAGGTTTTTTTTTACCTGAGCCAAAGGTTTTCTTTCCTCTAAAATGCTTCTACTGAACTCTGCAATCCCACACTGGAACCCAAACTGAAAGCTTATCTTAGCTGCACCCAGCTATTCTAGAGGTAAGAAAACACAAGCTATCTGATGTGATACTTCACAAACTTAACCATGGGTTGAAAAAAGGTTCCAAATGTCCAAAGAAGCAGTGACACCTGCCAGATGCCTACTCCTGGCTTTGTCTATAGGAGACCCACTCAAAAGAGAACTTAATAGCTTTCTTAGGTGGGAACAGATCTGCCAATTTTAAGTGATTAGGAAGGTAAGAAAACTAGGTCAGATCAGGTCTGAATGCAGACAGATTTCTTTGACTTGGCCTTCAGCCTAGAACCAACCAGCAGCCTTGATCAGCTGGGTCTTCTTAGGAAATCCAAATCCCACACCCTGACCCCCAACTGGCTACCAAGAGCCACTTCCCACCCCAGTTCCCAACCACTATCATTTCCCCTCATCTTCTAAGGCCAGCCTGTCTAGCTTCATTAAAAACCAATGGCTGTCACCCAGAATATTTCAGCCCAATGGGAACATTTCAGAGTGATGTGTTAAAATTATACACTTACTGATATATCTTCTCAAAACATTTTCTATCTGTTTCTGTTGGAATCTTCCTTTAATTACAAGTTGATTATTACCATCTATAGAACCACTATGAAAGAAAACAATTATCTCTATTATTGTTTTTTCCTATAAGGAATCAAATACCAATCAAACATTTTAAATCTTAAATATTTATATTTATAATATATAAATATTAAATATTCAAATATTTTAAATACTAAAATATATTCAACAACACAGGTAAGTTATAGGGGCAATACTACCTGGTTTCTCAAAATTTAAGTAGTTGGTGCCTAATGACTTAGTCTTATTTCCTAACATTAAATTCATTTTTTAATTACATCTTCAGCAACAAATGATTTGTAATTGATATTAAGTGTAAAACCAGACTGGTTCAAAATCAGGAAAGGAGTATTGTCAAGGCTAGATATTGTCACTCTGCTTATTTAACTTATATGCAGAGTACATCATGTGAAATGCCGGGCTGGATGAATCACAAGCTGGAATCAAGATTGCCAGGAGAAATATCAATAGCCTGATATGCAGATGACACCACCCTTACAGCAGAAAGTGAAGAGGAACTAAACAGCCTCTTGATGAGGGTGAAAAAGCTGGCTTGGAACTCAACATGAAAAAAACTAAGATGAATGGCCTCTGGCCCCATTACTTCATGCAAACATGGGGAAAAAGTGGAAACAGTGACAGATTTTATCTTTCTGGGCTCCAAAATTACTGCAGAGTGACTACAGCCATGAAATTAAAAGACGCTTGCTCCTTAGAAGGAAAGCTATGACCAACCCTAGATAGTTTATTAAAAAGCAGAGACATCACTTTGCCAACAAAGATCTGTCTAGTTAAAAGCTATGGTTTTTCCAGTAGTCTTGTTACAGATGTGACAGTTATACTATAAAGAAGGCTGAGTGCTGAAAAAATTGATGCTTTCAAATTGTGGTGCTGGAGAAGACTCCTGAGGGTCCCTTGGACTGCAAGATCAAACCAGTCAATCATGAAGGAAATCAACCCTGAATATTCATTGGAAGGACTAACGCTAAAGCTCCAATACTTTGGCTACCTGATGTGCAGAGCTGACACAATGGAAAAGATGCTGGGAAAGAGTGAGGGCAGGAGGAGAAGAGAGTGACAGAGGATAAGACTGGTTGGATAATATCACTGACTCAATGGACACTGAGTTCTGGGAGATAGTGATGGACAGGGAAGCCTGGCATGCTGCAATCCATGAGGTCACAAAGAGCTAGACTAAGCCATTGAAGGAAAAAAAAACCTTATTCCTTAACTGTGTGATGACCCATTCACACAACAAAGGACAATCACATTTTTATTGACTATACCACATGCAAAGCAGTGAGGTGCACTATAAATATAAAAACTATGAAAAGAGCTATAGACATCTTTAAAAATTCTAAGACCAAATCTTTTGATTCAGTGGCATATAGTTAATGAAAATGTTCTAAAATTGTGGTGGTTAACTATGTGAACAAATTAGAACTACTGGATTATACATTTTTAAATGTGTGAATTGTATCTATAAAGCAGTTTCAACCCCCTCCCCCAAAAGTACAGTTGAAATCACAGGCCTCATATTGTCAATGATACTTAAAGAAAAACTTTTTTAAAAGGCCTGTGATTTTTTAAAAGTAGTTGCTGACAAGTAATACTTTTGAGAAAGCAAGGCTCTGGGCTAAACATCATTTTTTTTTAAAGTTGATGTAAAAATAAATAAATAAATAAATAAATAAACTTATATGGAAATGCCCAGGACTGAGTATAGCCAAAATAATGGTGAAGAAGGAGAAAGTTGGAGGACTCATGTTTTCTGAGATCGAAATATATTGCAAAGCCACAGTACTCATGTACATCAATGAAAAAAATTGAGAGTCCAAAAATAAACTCTTATTTTATTGTCAATTGATTTTTGAAGTAGTGTCAAGATAATTCATTGGAGAACAGTTTTTTCAACAAATGGTGCAAGATCAACTGGTTATCTATTTATATGCAAAAGAAACAACTTTGACACTTTTAACATACCAAAAAATGGCTGCAAAATAAATTGTCGACCTAAACATCAGAGCTAAAATTGTAGTCATCTTAGAAGAAAACACAGACATAAATCTTCATGACCATGTGTTAGTCAACAGTTTCTTAAATGACACTGAAAAGCACAAGTGACCAAATAAATAACACTGATAAATTGGGTTTCATCAAAATTAAGCAGCTTTGGAATTTCAGCCGTACAAAAATGTGAAAAGAATAAAAGAAATTACAAATCAGAAAGTAAACAAAAATCCAGCCAAGCAGCATTAAATCTATTCCTTATCTTACTATTAAACTGGCTTTTGCAAGAACCTCTCCTATGATTCTCCTCTAACTGTAAGTTTATTATCATCCTCCATGAACAGTAACCCTTAATTTCCAGGCAACACTGATTCCAATGCTTGACACAGAAAATCTTTTCCATTCACTGTCAAAAGAAATTCGATTTTCTTGATAGCCCTATAATATTTAGCTCATAGACTATAAATTCACTGGTTACAACTTGTTATAATTCACCTCACCTCCACAAAAACTAATTATTCTGAAAAGTAGGAAAAACACTGCTACTTTTTGCTCCATCAGTTTATGTAATTTACGTTTGTAACAAATTTACATTTAAAATACAATTCTCCCACAACACAGCCCACATATCTACCATTGGTCAAGCAAATTACTCCTTGACCTCACAGCAAATACAGCCAGTTCCAACAAAAAGAGTTTCTAGATAGGAAGAGACAAGAACACCTTAATTACCTCTGTACTACCAACAAGGCACAAGATTAAGGCTTTTAAAGAGTTAAAAGCTCCCAAGAAACATAGACCTGAGTTTACATCTTGACTGCAATTAACTAGCTATGTGACATAGTGGCTCAGATGGTAAAGAATCTTGCCTGCAATACAGGAGACCCAGGTTTGATCCCTGGGTCAGTGAGATTCCCTGGAGAAGGAAATGGCAATCCACTCCAGTATTCTTGCCTGGAGAATTCCATGGACAGAGGAGCCTGGCAGGCCATAGTTCGTGGGTTGCGAAGAGTTGGACACAACTGAATGACTAACACTTTTTCTTTTTTCTTTCTCTATGTGACCACCTATACAACCTCACTTCACCAAACCTGTTTCCAAATGTGTTAAGGTGGAGTAATGCTACTTTCTAACAGTCCACAGAACTGTTGTAAAGATTGAGATGGTATCCAAAGAGTCTGGCACACAATGGAGGCTCAACATGTTAGTCATATTCATTATGTCCTTAATTCTACATTACTTATTTTTAAAGGGACATTCAGCTCACTTTGGTATACCTAACAGGCCTGCTCACATATGAGCCACTGTGAACCGTTTCCCTATTCCCAAGAAACCAACCTCTCCCATAGAAATGAACAAGTTTCCCTCCTTCATTGCCCTAAAAGTTCTTCTGACAATCAGGTGGATTTTTTTTTCCTAAGTGTATTACATATCTTTTCAAGTTAAAAGAAGTTCTTATAAAATGTCCATTAATACTGTAAGTAACAAATGTGAATATAGTTTCTTACCTTGTACCCAATTCAGCCAATAAAAATGCAAGGAGATGTTTAGGCTGACGATGTAATCTAAAAAGAAAGTGCAATAATATAAACCGTTTCTTTCATGGAAATCTAACCAAACTTCTAAATACCTCACTCTCTTTACTGTTTTGTAATTACTCAGCTGTAAGGTGAATTTTAGCACAGTTCATCAAACTCTGAAATGAAGATATATATGATACCATTTGTTTACATTTTAAAGCCCATAAAACAATATTACGTTTTATTTACAAGTATATACACACTGGTAAATGTCTATAGACGTGGACAGGAAAGGTAAATACCAACTTTTAAGGAGAAGATCTTTTTCTAGGAAGGAAAGTAAAAGAGATCAGGAAGATATATAAAGATGACCTTAAATTGTAACTGTAAAGCCCTCTTTTTAAAGAAGTAAAAAGATCTGAAGTTTAATCAAGAGGTCAAAACACACCAAATCAAGGCAATGAATATTTAGGTGTTTGTTATGTGAATTCCTATATATTTCCTGTTTGGAATTTATTTTTAAAAAGGGAAGTATTTCATGGCAGCACAACAACAGAAATTTAAAACAGCTAAAATATTCACCAACTGGGAAGTAGTTAAATTATGGTACATCCATTCTATCCTGCTTTTAAAATACAGGTCTCTAAATAACAACAAAAAAGCATAAAATGAAAAAGCACATAAAATGAAAAAAGCAAATCCAAGTAATGCCACTCAGTACACTTTTTAATTCTATTCACTTGGCACTGTTTGAGTTTGTTCCAATAACTAGGTACTACTATTACAATTTTAAAAAGCTTTTTTCCCCAAAAATGTAATGAGTAAGGGTTGGTGAAATACAATAAAACTGGTAGGTACTTATATTGCTAGTGGGAGTATAAACTGGTATAAACTTGCTGGAAAGCAACTTGCCAATGTTTGCTATAAACAATGTCCATTCCTTTTGACTAGGCAATTCCCTCTCGGGAATTTTCGCCCTAAGGCTCTATTCTGAGTTCTGCCAAGATACATGTATCAGGATTGTTCTATGAAGCTCTGCCTGATAATGAAAAACTGGGAGCAACCATGTTCAACCAAGGAACTGTCAGAATATGTTGTATAACTCTTAAAAACATTTGTGAAGATTTAATGATATGGGTAAAAATTTCACTATATATTGAGAAAAATATGTTATAAACCAGTATAATACCAATTTATTAAAAAATATTTAGATGCTTAATAGTAGCTAAAGAGGGGGCTTCCCTGGTGATCCAGGGGCTAAGACTCTGCACTCACAATGCAGAGGGCCCACATCCTATCCCTGGTCAGGGAACTAGAGTCCACATGCCACACCTAAGAGTTCACACACTGCAACTAAAGATCCCAAGTGCTGCAACTAAGAGCCGGTGCAGCCAAATAAATACTAAAAAAAAACCAAACAAACAAACAAAAAAAAACACGTAGCTGAACATAAAAATACTAAACTATGATTACCTATCTCTTAACGATGAATTTAGATGATTTCTCATTTTCTTTAGCAGGTCTGTATTTTCTCATTTTCTATCTAATTTCTATAGATAGAAATACTATTATCGCCACCAGCAAAAAAAAAAGTCTAAAACTTTTTAAGTCATGCCTACAAGCAATGAAAAAAAGTGGTTACTCTGGTCAGGGAATTTTTAGTGATTACATTTTCTTTATTTTGACTCCCCTGATAGCTCATATGGTAAAGCATCTGCCTACAATGTGGGAGACCTGGGTTCAATCCCTGGGTCGAGAAGATCACCTGGAGAAGGAAATGGCAACCCACTCCAGTACTCTTGCCTGGAAAATCCCAAGGACAGAGGAACCTGGTGGGCTACAGTCCATGGGGTTGCAAAGAGTCAGACACAACTGAGCAACTTCACTTTCTTTTCTTTCTTTCCCTTTTACTTTCTTTCCCTTTTCCCTTTTAACAAGCCTATATTACTTATGAAATTAAAGAACAGGAGATAACGTTGCCCTAAGGAACCTGCCAAAAAAGGTGTAGCTGAGGAAGTCTGAGAAGAGCCAGGCCCATGTGACAGTGACATGGGGGTAAGACAGGCATGGAATATGATGGTAATTAATGAAGTAGAAATCTCATCAACTGTGTCTTGGCAATAACCAAGGAAGCAGAACATTAAATGTAGCTGCCTTCCCAAAGCTCACTGCTTGTTACTTGCTTGGCAGGCCCACTCCAGCCTGATGAGCTTTTCCATCTGCCTGGGGTTCCCAGGCTTCTTTCTAAGGACTATACTCAGTCTCCTGACTCTTCACTCCATCTGGTTAGAATCCTCTCATAAGTCAGCATGAGTTGCATTCCCTTACTCTTAGATGCCTAATAAATCAAGCCTTAAGACCTATGAATCGAAAGAACTGATGGACTTGAACTGTGACCTCCCTCAACCCAACCCTGACACCTGTGCACTGTCTCTTTCTACTGGCAATAACGTCCACATTAAGGATATTTAACATATACTCCACTGAGAACCTGGCATTTGGGATGGAAACTCTGCATTAACCAACTTACAGTTTACAGATATCTGTAAAGTTGACAAAAGAAGTTTTCTTGGTTCCTACTCGGACGACCTGTGGTGGTTTCATGACAAATTTCCTTTTCTCTCCAGCTACCATATCTGGATTCTTTTCCCTCATGATGTTGAACACTCGATTCAGTAGCTATAGAGATAAAGTGGTATTCATGAACAGTCTTATTAATAAGAGTATACAGTTCCCACTTGAGTAACTTGTGCATTTCCTTTAAGAACAAACTTTATCAAATGTACACACTCATCACATATTCTGGGAGCTCCTTGAAAATAATTCTTGACCCTGAACAGCAACTGGTCCATTATGAAAGCAGAACAGTTCCATATTCAAAGTTAAAGGAATGAACAAGCTCCTACTAATTCTACTGTTACTGTGGGAAAATATGTGGTACCTGGAAAAGTAAAATTCAGACTACCCGAACAAACTTCAGACTAGCTTGGCCCCATGTTAACACTTCCTTTCTCTATTGTCCCCCTCCAGGGGGGCTCCAATGACCTTAGAAGTTCATGGATTCTGATGATACTATAATGACTGCCTGCCCCATACATGGGCATCAGAAAGTGCTGTGCATTGGCTGTGTGACCTCTCTGGGTCTGTTTCATTATCAACCTATACTTCAGTGGCCCTTTCAATTCAGGGACATTTATCCTGCTTTTGAGTTCTAGTGAACAGTTTAGCCCCCTTTCACAACAGAATTTGTCTTACCTCTTCATATGTGTAGTCTCTTTCTGAGCCTGCCCAAGCAGGGCCTGTCTGGTTACTGAATGAGATACCATCATCTTTTTTGCTGTCTTCATCTTCTAAAGCTACAGATAACAAAGACTATAAGAATGAGGGGTAGGGCCTGATACAAGAACAAAAAGGGGAAGGGAGAAGCAGATCTAGAGAACTGAAAGCTTTAGGACATTTGTCTTCCCTCCCACAACTGCATTCATAACAGTCTTAATCATAAAGACATCAAGGCTCTTAAATAACCCCATATTCCTTAGGGAGATGTTACAACTTTCATAAATCATCCTTAATAGAGACCTCTCTAATTAGGAATTTGTGGTAATACAGACACACGGAACTGTTTCTTGATTTAACAAACAAAATAATGCACTAGGATAATTAAGAGAACAAAATGTCTGTTTTGAAGCACTTAAGTAACAAACACATCCATAAAAACCCATCTGCTGACTATAGTAAATTCTCTAAAGTAGTTACAGTACTTCGAAGCTAATAAACAGCACTTTTAACAAAATAGTAAAAAAAAAAAAAATTTAAATCCAGTTACAATAATTGTCCTGATAATCTAAATCAGTATGTTATAATGTAATCACAACCATCAAGTTCTTCCCCCATGAAATCTTTTAAACTTTGATTATCAAGTTAGATTCTGTTTCCTGTTAGCTTCCATTACTAGGTAGCGGAAATAAGGGGCCAAGAAAAAATAAATAAGGAACCCATTCATGAAAGAGATTAGGCCAAAGGTTTCTGTGAGCCTAGAAATGAGCTGTTAAGCCCACCAATATTACCTTCATCTTTCTCTAGTATTTCATCCTCATCAGGGAACTTGACAACCTTCTTTTTCTTCTTTTTATTGCCAAGCATAATGTCAAGATCTTCCTCGGGTTCAGCTGCTTCCTGAACATCACTTTCAATCTTAAGGTCCTAAGAAAGTGAGATAAGAGTCAACATTTTGCTACTAGAATAATTATTTTTATTTTTAAATGATACGGGCTGACATGGCTTTGGAGGAAAAAAGTATTACATATTCAAAACTGAAGTTATGGATCAGAAATCTCTCTCACAGGTGAACCAAACTGGTTCAGAGTTCATTTAAACTGGAAAATTTTTAAGACACTTAACAGGATTCTTATATCTCACTGACAATCTTCAGCAGGCATGGGGTTTAGGAATATTTTAAATAAGTTTCTAAGTATTCTGATGCAGTTAGTAGGAGCACTTTTTCCTCCTGACACCAAATGTGTGATGTTTTTCCACACCAATTTTCCAACTCTGACACTAACTAGATAACATACAAATCAATGTAGTTCTGACACTATCCAGTTAGTGACAAACTCCATGGATTTAAGGGCTCAGTTCCATAAGACTGTTTTCATTTCAGAGGCCAATTTCAAGTACAGAGTCCCCAGGTTTCCCACACATATGTCCTACTTAAAAGTTCAGGGGTTCCCAGACACCCCTAATTCAATCATTTGCTAAAAGGGCTCAAAGAACTCAGGAAAACACTTACCTTATTATACCTGATATATATATACACAATATTATATAAAGGATACACTTGGAAACAGCCAAATGGAGAACATGCACAGAGCAAGAACAGGGAGGCAGAAGTGTAGTGCTTCCATGCTCTCTCCAGGTATACTACTCTCAACATCCCAATGTGGTCACCAGCACTGAAGCTCTCCAAAACCGCCCCCAAGGGTTTTTTTTACTGAGCCCACCCATGAGATTTTTATGGAGGCTTCATTCTGTAGGCATCACTAATGAAATCATTGGCTCTTGGTGATCAAACTTAGATCCAGAGATTCTAAGAGTCTTAGGAACTGTATGCAAGGACCAGTGGAAAAAACCAGGTATTTTTTTTCTTATACCACTGCCATCATGGCACTAGGCTGTAAGGTCGTCTTTGGGCAACACTTCAACAGATGAAATCATGAAAGAGGGAAAAGACAGAACCCATGGAGAATTAGGGTCACATGATGAATGGACAGAGAGAAGGTAAAGCTTGATCCCAGGATTAGCTGCTATAGTCATGGATGTAAACCAGGCACAACCTTGAAATGAGACACAAAAACCCTAGAAGAGCAGAAAGGGCCAGTTTTAGTTCCAGCCTTCTAATCTCACCTACTTGTATCAGTGTATCCAAACTGAAGTGTGCTGTCAACATTACTTATCAATATCTACTTTTGTGCTACTCTGTAAACCTTGCTATAGAAATTTTAGAAATCTAATCAGCAAAAAAGCTCAAATAGCCAGGAATAAATAAAGTGCAGCCTTAAGATGCCAAATCTAGCTGTGCTGTCTCAGTGCCACATCTAACTATCAAAGACCAATCAGCCCATGTGTATCAAGCTGGATACACCAGACAAGAAACCGGATGTTAACCTAGACTCTAAGACGACAATCAGTAAATGAGAAACTCAGACAGGCTAAATATAAGTTAGCACACACCAGTCAGCTTCTAGTCCTATATTAATAATTTTATCCCAGTAAGCTCTATTTCTAACCTTGAGGCTAAGACCCAGTGAAAGGTAGAGAATAGCACCAAGTATTTTTCAAAAACCCTGTGGTGGTCTGAAAATGCAAATCTTAAAAACACTTCAGCCTCAAGTTAATGTCCATGTCTTGCCTGATAAGGATACTTGAAACTTCTTGTTATGATTTAAGAGCAGAGAAAAAAGTATCCAAGCACTAAAATTAGAGCTTATAAGTGACTCTGCAGGATAAAAGTTACTAGAGAAATTTGTTAACCAAGACTTTCTGTGGCACATCTCTAACGTGTCACCTGGTTACCAGGGATATTTATACTTCATTTATTCAGTATAATCTGAACATTTCTCTTTATCAATTTCCCTACAATAGTAGGAAAAGAAGAGAATCTCCAAACAAGGAGAGAATAGGATAAATCCAGGTAAAATCATCTTGTTCTAAAGAACTCCAAATTATCCCTGAGCCTCTGAAAACGGAAAGTATCTTACTCGTTTTAGTACCCTAACAATTAGCACACAATGCCTGACTCACGGTCTTCACTAATACATATCTGCTGAATTAACAAATCATTAAAGAACAGACTTTCAGCTCCTTCCTCCACCCATCCTCCTATTCACCTACTTTTCCACCCATCTTTCTACTCCTTATTCAAAGTAACTCTGAGATATTTATATTAGAAATCAATCCAGTAATAAGACAATTACAGGGCCTCAAGTCCCCACAATATCAGAGAATTCCATAAAACCAGCCTGATTGCTCTGGTTCTCCTGTAGGAGAACAGGCCATAAAATCATCAGCCACCAACCACCACAGGCCAGGGTTCATTCTTTGCTGCTCAGAGGTATATACATAAATCTGTGTATCCTCAACATGCTACCAAAATTTTAACAGAAGAAATCATAGAGATATTTGCTCTACAGGATTTCTCACAGAAATCTCTCTCCTCAGCCAATCTCAGTGTGATTAATGAGAAGTGGCATTTTGTAATCATCTTAATGGCACTCAATACAATGTGTAAAAGCTAAATTTACATTCCTTTGAACCATAATTCTTTTAAAATATCTAGTCAGACACAATGCCAAGAAAACGACCTTAACAGTAGTGACTAAATCCTTAATTAAAAAAAGCAAAACTAGTAAGAGATGAGACAAAAGAGGGAGAAACATCAGCCATTAGCAACCTTTCAAGAGGTCAAATTTTACCTTCAATAAGAAAGCAATACTACCTTTATACCTTCTTCAGCTTCATCAATATCAAATATCTTTTTTGATTTTTTCTTCTTCTTCTTCTGATTAAAGAAATTCAAATCATCTAGATCATCAGAAGCATCTAAAAGATAATTGAGATGATCAATTATTAACAAATAGCAAAACACAAAACACTGAATTAAACCAATGTTTCAGCTATTAATCAAGTCACCAGAATGAGACTGGTATTAATTAGCACAGTCACATTCCTCCACAACTACAAAGGTTATGGTTCTAAGAACACAATGACAGGTCAACTCAAAGCTTTGTAGGAAACTACCTGGCTAGAGGACCATATGCTGTGCTCAGTCACTTAGTCTTGTCCAATTCTGTGACCCCATGGACTGCAGGCCGCCAGGCTCCTTTGCCCATGGAATTTTCCAGGCAAGAATACTACAGTAGGGTGCCATTTCCTACTCCAGGGGATCTTCCAGATCCAGGGATCGAATAGGGGACCATGTAGGGGATATTTATATAGTAGCTGACCATATGATGCCTCATTGTTCCCAAAACAAAGTCAGGGTTCTAACATAATTTTCCAAGGCTCTCCAGCTTTATCTACTTCTGCCTAGTCTCTCATATTCCACCTTAATTCCTAGTTCCAGCTCAACTGAACTACCTCCACTTCTTAGTGCAGTATGTATGGTCTCTCACCTTCAAGCCTTCCTATGGGCCCTTCTCCCATAGCTCTTACCTTCATCTCACAGGATCTTTGTTAGGAGTTACCTCCACCAAGAAGTCTTCTCTAAGCCTGTCTTTCCTATTCCCTAACCGGGTTAGGTATCCTGTAGGTGCTTTGATAATAGTACCTTCTGTCACTCCAACAGAGGTGTTTACTTGCTGCTTGTCTATCTCCCCATGAGATACCAAGGGATTATGCCTTTCTCACCCAAATTACTGTGCCTAGTCCAACAAGTTATTCAATTAATCAACCAACAAAAGGCCTTATAAAGTATTTCACGTTCATGAAAATGAGACTACAATATGAACAAGATGAAATTTTATCCACCATTAATGAGTAAAAATAGGTTTGGTTCAATAAATTTTCCATTTGTTCTGCCCTACTGTATACAAGGAATATTTTAAAATGCTTCTATTACAAAGTTTTTCAAGGAGCTATTTATGAATTCATAATTAATTCTTTTTAAAAGAATGATTTACTTTCCAACTTTGTTTTAAACGTTTACAAGATGCTTAGCACATGGCAGATGCTCAATGAATGTCAATTTTCTCTACCCCTAGTACAGTGTCTTCTATTCAACAGACATGAACATGTTTACTAAATCATTTAAATGGTGTTTATGTTAGAGCATGAGAGTGAGTAACTAAATGCTGGTTGTAATTTTAATTTCTTCTATATATTTTCCAACTTGTTAAGATATAAAACAACTTGTTAAGATATCTTGGTCCTATTTCTTTCTGCCTACACTCAAATACAACCACTGTTAAAATTGGAAAAGAGACAGGGGAAAAAAAACTGGAAGAGACTTCTGCACAGGCTAGACTGGAACACCAGCCCTGGAGTGACAAAGTTTTATCATCTTTGTCCTGTGGACTTGATGGAGTCTTCCCTGAAACAAGTCTACAAGAAACCTGGCAAGGTCCCATGTGCCCAGACTGTTTATGGCCTCATCTTCACTATAACAGCCTCTCAGGTCATTGTGTGCACAAAATTCAAAACACTGATGGAAGAGAACGAGGTCTTCCAGAACAATATTGATTCTCTCATATTTACCACTTACCTTTTTTCCTACTGTCTTCTTCATCAGCTTCTACATCTTTGTCCTCAGTTGGCTCTGGCTCCACCTCTTTTGTTTCTGAGGGCTGGGTTTCTTCTGCCTGGGCATCCCCTTCCTCATCTAACATAAATGGCTTCTTCTTCTTCTTTTTCTTCTTGCTCATAGTAGGATCAAAAATCATCTGTTTAAAAGATAAGAAAAGAAATCGGGACCATGTGATTATTTTTAATGATGCTCACATAACAAACGTGCTGCAGTCTTAAAAGGTATACTCTTAAAAAAACCACATGTACTGTTTTTTAATTTATAAATTATCACAAAATAATAGAATTTAGGAAAGGAAGCTTAGCGTTATAATAACCCAAGCTTCATCCCTTGCTTTATGAATGAGAAAACCAAAGCCCAGACAAGTCATACATGTTTTATTTAAGTTTGGTAACCTGGGTTGCTACACCAGGAGACTTGACCTGATTTAAAAAAAAGCTTAAAAATGTTTTTTTATCCTGAAATTCAGACAAATCTTTAAAGAAATCCATCATCAACCTTTCATATAACAAATCTCTATCTGAGTAAAAGAAACTTCTATACAATCTTTTACTCTGCTTTTTTCTTCTAGAACATTAAAAGATAAAATGTTTAAAAGCACAAGTCCAGAACCTAACTGACTGAATTCAAATCCTAATTCTGGTTTTTACTTTTGTTACCCCAGATAAGTTCTTGCCCTCTCCACGCCTCAATTGTAAAATGGAGATCAGTAGCAGAACCAAAACCAAACCTAAAAAGGTGAATAGGACTAAAGAGGTAAATAGGCTTCCCTGGGGGCTCAGATGGTAAAGAATCCACCTGCAATGTGGGAGACCTGAGTTAAATCCCTGGGATGGGAAGATCCCCTGGAAGAGGGCATGGCAACACACTCCAGTATTTTTGCCTGGAGAATCCCTTGGACAGAGGCCACTTCAGGCTGCAGTCCATGGGGTGGCAAAGAGTCAGACATGACTGAGAGACCAAGCACAGCACAAAAAAGTAAATATACATAAAACACTTGGCACAGTACCTGGTACAAAAATACTCAGTAAATGGTAGCAATTATTATACAATTTATATATAATGCTTTAGAGGTGACAAAAGCATGGTATGTCTTGATTCCTATCACCAAAATCCATCAACTCAGGGTGATCTAATCTTTAAGACATATCATGAAACTCAAAAATATTCCCAAATTGATTGTAATTAACTTAAATTCCTTTATGTCCCAAGTACATTACGGAAACTAAGCTACACTGAAACCAAACTATGGTCTGTAATAAGGGAGAGTGGTAGAGTATTATCCTCACTCAATAAAGAAGGATCTGCAAGAGTTCTGGAAATTGATACGGCCTCATTTCAAAGTTATCACCTCCTACCTTAAGAATGCTCTAACCGTATACATGATTAATTCTGGAAAGCAGTCAGTCTGAGGAACATAGTTTGGCAAACTTAAAGAGTAGTAAACAGAAGAGTCAGGAGGAAGGAGTTCCCCACTGCTGACCTACTGGGTCTTGTCATCGTTCCAGGGAAGAAGCTATAATCCATCCTCATTCCTGAAATATGGAGATTTGGCAAACGGACAGATAACACTCCAAGCATTATAAATCTGGTTGTCTGGCAGGGCTTACATGCCATTTATTGCATTTTTTTTTCAGTATCAAATTTGCCTAGAATATTAATTATCTTTTAACTATATTATTCAGCAAGACAGACCAAAGATGAGAGGGACATCCTCAGAACTGCCCTGTTATCCTTTGAAAAACATTCATATAGGTCCACAGGGAAACATTATGATTGTAGCCTGGAAAAGAGTTATAAATATGCAAGAATTATACACTGACGTATCTCTCCCAATTACTATCTCTGGATGCTGAAGACATACACTCATCCCTTCATTTTATTCACACCACTCAGCAAAACTAGAGTTTAAAAATACGGAAACCAGGGATTCCCAAACAGTACCCAAAGTAGACCTCCCTCAAACCACAAGGTCAGTCTTGACTTAAATGTGTTTTTTTTTAAAAAACACTTTTATATCTGATTTAACAAATTATCACGATCCAGATGTTTCATGAGACTAGTTGGGATCTGAGAAGCAAATAGTTGCTCACAGTGTGCTTACGGAAAATCAGACTCTTTTGAGCTATCTTTTTAAGTCTACGACAAAGTCTTCAAATGTTTTCTCTTTTTAACTTCCCACACTGGGTTGGGTTGAAGAAGGTGAGGAAAAGGGATACCAGCAAAAACTACCCTGACAACAGACTAAAGTGCTTCAGCAAATTGGAAGCCTACTCACATCTATCATACCTTACTCAAGATAACTTTAAGGCCTAGAAGGAACCACACCAAGAAGGCAGGAATGAGCTGCAAAAGAACCCAAATAGGTAAGTTGAGCAGAACAAATGCTGTGTGGTCATCTCTGGGTGATAGGATTGAGAGATTTTTATTTGTATTGTATTCTTCTGTGTTTGTATACTTCATACAATACACATTCCATTTTTCATTCAGTTTCTTTTGTAAAACACCTTACCATGTTGTGTGAAAACCCAGTACTCAGATACTTTGTGAATGGGGCCCAGTAATAAGCAATAATCTTAGCTACTGACAGCACTTTGATGCCTGTAGATTAGGGAACTTTTCCTCACATGGCAGCACTCATATTTCTAGAATACTGCTTTTTCAGATGTCAGTTCAAGGGAGATTATGCTATGTGAGTTTTGGGCTTACTTGCCAGGTTTGAAAGGAAGTGTGCAGTTTATGGCAACTATACATTAAAAAATTTAAAAAACAGGAAATGTGAAAAAAGAAATAAATTACTTTTTATTAGTAGATTCTTTAATCCTCTATCCTGGCTACCAGGCAGGACTACTACTGCTGTAGGATGTCCCTAACAGTTTATCATTTCCACCTACCGATTTTTCACTTGATCCTTACAAGCCTGTAAAGTAGCCAGAAGTTAAGGATTGGCCTAAGAAAACTTCTCTATCCAACAGGATTAGAGGAACCAGAACCTGCACATACCTTAGAGTGGAAGGCAAAGGTGGGATTCTACTTCCACTAACTTGCTCTGTGATGTTGGGCAACTTAACTTCCCTGGGCAGTAATTTCCAGTTTACAAAATGGACTGGTAGATCTGAGAAATGCAAAGCTTTTTAATACTTTATTGGCTTTCAAAGTCCTCTGCTGGAATGCTGGTTCTGCCATCTCTGCTTGACAAAATCCTTTCCACCCTTCAGTAATATTCCACTTCTTTCCCCATCTAATCCCACCGCTAAAACTGAACCCTCCAGCTCTCCAAACTGCTGTTAATGCTCTATTTCTACCTCCTGTACCAACTAGAAGTAGATCTCTTACAATACTTGTGAGCACTTTACCATATAAAACACAGAATAGCACCCCAGAGAACTCTGTGCTATATAGGTGCTTACTTGTTAAAGGTAATGAAAAGCTTAGAAAATGAGTAGAAACAAAACAAGCATGACACAACTCCACTCTCAGAACTTTTAAAAGCAGGTGGACAGCAACGTCTAACCATGACCTCCAAAGCAGGATCACATACTTCCCTTAGATTCAGTTTCTTCCCTGAGAGTCTCTGAGGCACCAAACGGAGATTTGGAATTCTAAATACTACTGACTCGGTCACTTACTATTTGATCACGGGCATCACACAACTCTCTAGAAGCCTCAGTATTCTCATTTCTGAAATGGGCATAACAATAATATACATCTTAAAGGGGCGTCATGAGAATCAAATGAGAGCTTGGAATCGCCTCCAGAATAAAATCCAAATCCCTTAATTTGTCTTCAAATTCCTCCATGAAGTAGCTATTCCCTATATTTTAAGGAATTAACTCTAACCAAGTTGGATAATATTCTACTTCCTTGCTCTGAATCCTTTCCACTACTTGAAGAAATTCAAAGCATTTTCAGCACGCACCTCAAATGACAAAGCTCAAAAAGCTTCGAATTTTTCTCTGCTCTCCAAGGCCCTACTGGCCAACCACTCGAATGTTTACAGAAATTAATTAAAAACTTGAGGGGGTTTTCCATTGGTAGTTCTCAAAGTGTTAATCAATACCTATGGCTCGTACTTAAAAGTCAAATGTCATTTTAGGCCGTTTGGATTTAAATAAACTGAGATAAACCTGACCGAAAAGGTTCTCGAGGAAATTTGCTGAGGTACAAGCAAGACAGTGGAAAAAGACCCAGGCAGCTTTGCAGCCCGGACTTCCCGCTGACGTCGCTGAGAGCTATGCTGAGGCAGGCTCAGGGACAACGGCCCTAAAACTTTCCCAGGTTAATCACTTTTTCAGGCTGAAAGATGTTTTCCTCTTGACTTCTCCCCCTCTCTCACGTCTTAAAAAAAAAAAAAATGCTCTAGATAAGAACAAAAGTGGATGCTGGGCAGGACAAGCCAGCCTGCAAAGTTTGAAACGCGGTCGCTCTACTAGAGCCGAGAGATGCTCCTCTCAGTACCACCAGCGCCCAGCGAGGGAAGAGTTGGAGCTGCAGAATCATATCGAAAGGAATGCAGGAGTCGCCAGCCCCAGTCTCGTTCAGTTGGGGGAAGAACCGGGTATTCAAGCCCTCTTCTGGAGGGCAACTCTACGTGCTCTCCATTCCGGAAACGCCGGCCACAGGAGGACGCCGGCCTCAGCGCCCCCGTCCGGAGGAGAACCGGGAACCGCCAAGCCAGGGCTCCAGAGCCCTCACCGGCTCTACCGCTCCGGGTCGCCTAGGCCCGGCTGCCCCACATGGCGGCGACCGGCCGCTAGGCCGCAGGCCCAGTCTCCCATACTGGGGTGGGTCTGGCTCACTGCCTTGGTCCCTAGCCATAGTGCCAGTCTCAGGCCCTCACCTCGTCCCCGGACATGGCTGCGGCTCGAGTGGGCTCGGCACGGACGGAAGTCTGACGGGTCAGCCCCAGGCCCCGGCTTCAGCGCTGCTCCTGCCGACACTTCCACCACCGCACTAGGCTCTTGCATCAGCGAAAGGGAACGACACCCCGCCCTCTCCTCCCAAGCGTTATAAATGCGCCTGCGCAGAGACCGCCAATGCGCAGGCGCGCTGAGAAGCCGACCTAGCGCGCTCCGACTGGCGCGAGTTACCAGGCGACGCCGAGCGCCGGCAAGCTGGTACTTGTAGTCCGCCCGG